GTCACAGGTGGGACAGAGCCTGCCCTTCCCACCCACAGGGCCCCGCTGGGAATGGGGTGGATCACCGGGGTGGGACGTGGGGACACCGATGGCCCATCGCTGCTGGGGGCTGTGTCAAGGAGCCCCCCCCCTCCTCCCCAGCACCCATCAGCCTTCGTGTGCTGCACTTTTACCCAACACCTCAGACATAAATAGGAGTTTTCCTTACCCTGCGGAGAGTGTTTTGCAGGTGCCCTTCCCGGCATCCCGTCCTGCTCCCTCCTCTGTGCCGGCACTGCCTCGGGGCGTTGGCTGCGAATCCCCCCGCGCTGGGGTGCGTGTTGTGATGCTCTGTACACGTGGCAGTCCCCGTGTTTGTTGCCCCTCGCTGTATTAAACGTGTCTCTGCCCTTCACCCCTCCTGGCTCTCAATCCAACGCGGCTCCGGGGGCTTCCAGGAATGAGCCCAGACCGGCCCAGCGGGACCGGCCCCGGGGCTCCAACCCGGCCAACCTGCTGTGTGAGCACCGCACGGCCGGTCCATCCTCCCCCTGCTGCTGTTCCCTGGCCGAAACCACCGGGGTGAGCCACCCCTGAGCCCTCCCGGCTTTGGGAACAGAGGTGACCGGGGATGGTGGAGGCAGCTGGGGCAGATGGCAGTGCCACATCCTGTCCCTGCCAGCTGGGATTGTTCCAGGCCGAGAAAAGCTCCTAATTTGGGAACACCTGGCAAGGAGGTGGGGAGCAGCCCCCGGGGTTGACAGGGTTTAGGGTGTGCACAGGGAAATCAGTCACTCCTGATTTGATGATGGGATGCTCCCAGGGCTGCAGCCCCTCTGCTCTGGAGCCAGGCTGGGAGAGCTGGGGGGTTCACCTGGAGAAGAGAAGGATCCAGGGAGACCTGAGAGCCCCTTGCAGGGCCTAAAGAGGCTCCAGGAGAGCTGGAGAGGGACTGGGGACAAGGGATGGAGGGACAGGACACAGGGAATGGCTTCCCACTGTCTTAAGGCAGAGAGAGATGGGATATTGGGATGGATCCCTGTGAGGGTGGGGAGGCCCTGGCACAGGTTGCCCAGAGAAGCTGTGGCTGCCCCATCCCTGGAAGTGTCCAAGGCCAGGTTGGACGGGGCTTGGAGCAGCCTGGGCTGGTGGAAGGTGTCCCTGCCCATGGCAGAATGAGATGAGCTTTAAGATCCCTCCCAAACCATTCCAGGATCCTGTGATTCCTCTATAACTCCTGTACACCAGCAGTCATTCCCACGGTTTGAGCAGCTGGAAAAATGAGTGAAGACCCAAAGGAATTATTTGCAGTCTTCAAGACTGAGAGATTTTTTTAAGACTGCAAACCTGGCAAGGGCAGAGAGCAGCTGGTTGAGGGGAGGGAGCATTCCTGGCCCACCTGGCACAGGGAGATGCAGTTGGAGCCCACAACTGACCTGCTGAGGTCCCAAGGAAGGGGCATGGGCTCCTTGGCACGTTCAAGTTTAGGGTGGATCCTCCTGAGGGTGTTTTTCAGGGTCAGTTTTAAGCTCTGTGGGGACAC